TGGGGGCGGGGGTGGGGGTGGGCAGGAGGGGCGCGAGCGTGTGTGCGTGCCGGGGTGTCTCGCGCGGGCTGCGGGCGAGGTGGGCACGCACGCACTCTCCCGCTCTTGTTTGCATGTTTTCAGCCCACCTGCACCAGCAGCACTGCCGCCACCGCCACCGCCACCTGCACCACCACCACCACCACCACCGCCACCATAACCACCACCACCAACAACAACAGGAGGGGAGCCCACAGAGGGCGCCTCACCTCCACCACCTTCATCATGTCCTGGATCGTGTTGCCCAGCCCGCCCACGTCCGCAAAGGTGACCCCCGTGGAGCCGTCGCGCCGCGCGTTGCCCTTGGACTGGGCAAACTCCATGGCCTGAGGGAAGGAGAGAGGGAGGGAGGGAGGGGGAGGGGCGCGCGCTTGGTGGGCAGGCAGGCAGGCAGGCAGCTCGGGCGTTTCCTCTCCTGCTTTCTGACGTGACTGGCAGGGACACGTGGCCGCCCAGCCGCCGAGGAGCGCCGTTGTCTGATTCCGATTGCCGTGGCAGCCGGCCGTGCGACCGCCGCCGCCGCGTGGCCTCCCACCCGCCGGCCGCGCAGCCACCCGCCCCACCCCACCGCCTCCCGCCGCCTCCCCACCTGGAACATGTCCACAGGCATCTGCTTGCGTGGCCGGAAGATGCCGATGGCCAGGGCGACTCCCAGGAAGGAGATGCCAAAGGTGTAGAACAGGAACTGGGGCAGCTTGTCATACACGTGCCACAGGCTGAACTCCTGAGGCGTCTGGTGGAAGGAGAGCGCCAGGTGGCGCTCGGCGGGGCACGAGTAGCGGTGGCCGCGCCGGTCCACCCACCCCTGCCCGTAGTACTCGGCCTCCGCCCGCCGGCTGAGCCGCTGCTCGTGCGCCTGGAACAGCTGCTCCAGCACCTGGTTGTAGCCGTACTGCAGGCGGTACGGGAGCGGCAGCGGCGGTACCGCGCGGCACGTGTTGACGGCAGGCATGGGGGCAGGTGGCTGGGCGCTGCTGCGGTGGGCAGGTGCTTGCTGCACTGGCCCGAGTGCACGCCCCCTGCCCCGCCTGCCATGCACAGCCACGCTGCCCAGCGCGGCTCGCGAGATCCGCCCGCCCCCAGCCCGCCGCCGCCCACCTGTGCGGGGTGCCCCAGTTCCTGGCTCTCGCGCTTGGCCTGGTGGATGGCGCCCTTGCCGCCGCCTGAGCGGTAGTCGTGCAGGAAGGTGGGGGCCCCCTCCTCATCCAGGCTCACCCAGCACTGCTGCCCACCAGCCTTGGTCACCAGCACGCGGTAGCCGTCAAAGCCGGGGCGCAGGAAGCGGCCGCTGCGGGGGGGGGGGGGGGGGAGGGAAAGGGGGGGAAGGGTGGTGGGGGGGGGGGGGGGAGGGAGGGCGGGACGGGGGGGGGAGCGACCCAAAAAGGCTGGCGACGGGGGCCCCCC